CGATTCCTCGTTTTTTTAAAGAGAGTCAGCCAAAGGGAATCTGAGTAGAATCGAAGTTCGATCGACGATGATCACCTGCTGGATCAGCTGTAACCTTGTTCACCCTCTCGATCAAGGGCGCGCTCCTGTCGTTGCATTTCACGTGCCTCAACGTCTTCCCGCTTTCGACTTCCTTCATCATGCTCGCCCAATCGGGACGTTTCCGCGGCCTCTGTTTCAACATTTCCAGTTTTTCCTTTTGCTCTTCGTTCAGCGGTGGAAGATCTTTCAGGATCGTTCTACCCGGAGGTGGTGGCGGTGGTCTTGGAGGTGGTGGCGGCGGGATCGCTGCCCTCGACGAGCTTTTCGATAATGTCGGCGCTCCTATTTATACGAAAACTTTATTTTTATCGTGGCCAAGTGGTATCGCGAATTTTTGTGTATTTTCACGTTTAATGGGATGGTCGTTACCGTGAAGAAGAAAAGAAGAAAGGTAAGTGGTTTGAATTATTCATTGTATCTAAAATTAGATGATCGTTGTGCGTTGGGTATAATGTTAAAACGTATCGATTATTAGAATCTGATAATCTTGTAATGTTTGTTCATGATACTGTGAATTCTTGTCTTTTCAGGATTTGTCCGGGAAGATATTTGCGGAGAGATTCATGCTGTTACCTGTGGTGCTCTCACTCTTGGAGAGAGGTATTGTGTCACCTCGAGATCGAGACCTCTCGATTCGAACCTGTCGTTCGAGCTGTGGCCTCGAATTTGGCTCTTGTCGTCCATTCTCGCGGAGCTTCGCCGGTGCCGGTTGACTGCTCGTGTTCTTTTCGCTTTTAGGCTGTGACGGAATTATTGTGATCTTGCTCTGTTTACGCGGCTGTGCATCTGTCGAGGGCGTCGCTTCTGGTTTCGGCACACTCTACAAAAAAACGATAAATATTTTTACTTTCGTCGCCTTTTACAAATATTTTCACTTGTGAATATTTTCTTTTCGCTTGAATTATCTTCTAGTGTTTCTATACGCTTGATTCTTGCACATTTGTATTTCGATCCATCGCAAATGTTCTTTCACCGTGAGGAATCTAAAAATAATGTTTATCGTAGCAGCAACAATTTACGCGCCAATTGTTAGTCGTTGCGTACCCAATTTTTACAATCGCTTTATTGTTCATGATCGACGAACATTTACATCTGCAACTTTGTATCTTATTGTTAGATCAATCTGTTGGCGATCGCTCTCTCACTTGATTTTAACGGTACGGTAAAAGGAACAAAAGAATATTATCTGTGTCGTGAAAGATAGTGGTTGTATTGAAAAATAGATGAAACTCCCCACCTAATATCCTTCGTTCCTAAAGAAAGAAAGTCTCGAGAATTCTCTTGGCAAGTATCGATCTCCGTTTGATTGTCTTTAAATAATCTAAGTAGCGCACTTCCTCCGCGATCATTTTCAAGCTACAAGCTTCGATCAAGTATTTCCATGATACCGTATCCTCTATTCCTTTGAAAGAAAAAAAAGAAAAAAAAAGATATACTTATTTGTTGATAGATACTACTATTGCGAAAGAGAAAAACTTTGTGAAAGAAAATTATGCGAAAATTGTGACGACTGATAGAACGTAGAATTAGCGTTCAGATTTTTAAATCAAAACGCTTGCAAGTCCAGCAAAAATTTGCACAAAACCGTAATGTAAGCCCGTTAAGAAACTGGCGGAAGACGCAACTGGCAAGACATTTGAAATAGAAACGCGTGTTCTTTAAATAATCGTGACCCAGAGGCTTATATGCGAGGACCCGCGAGGCTAGCCTTCTGTCTGATCTCTCTTGTATCGAGAAACTGAAATTAATCCAACGCTTTCGATATCTCGTGTAGACAAGTGTGCGAGTCTAGTAAACTTCTCTCTCCTTCAATTTTTCGATAATTCGATGATCTATATAATTCTTTTATAATTCATTCCTTAAAGTGAATCAGTGGTAAATTGAGTAAAAGCTTACATATCGTATTAAATTATCGTACTTGAAGGAATTCTAGCGCAAACGTGAGATTATTCACAGGTGAAATGAATAGAGTGGTATTTTTGGAGTTTTCTGGACTTCATTTCATTTGTTGGAAAACTTTCAACTTAACCAATTCAATGACAAATTTCGTGCGCGCTTCGTATGGCGAAATATCGATTTCAAAGCGATCGTGGATCTTGTAAATTGCAATCGGACTCGTCGATGATCTAACTACCCGCGACAGTTGTAAACAATATTATGACGTGAACGATCATGACGACTTCACGTGTTTTCGAAACTTGGAACACCACGTTTTCTCGCATTTTCGCATGGCTTGTTGCCAAAATATCGGAAGTACGCGTTTTTGGAATTGTTGCGCGGCGAGAAATAAACAGAAATAAACAAAAAGCGACGATAGCTTAGATGGCTAATCGAATAAATGACGATTCATATGTATTCGAATCTTTTCATACATTAATTCCTCGCCGTTCCCTCTCGAGACTCGAAGTATAATCTCATATTTCTAAGAACAATTGCACCACGTTGTATAATGCAGATGCGATGCCCTTGTAAATTTCTACTTGCCGAAATGTTTATAACGCAAGAACTTGTTACTCGCCACCCACGCAAGTTATTAATAGTCAACTCTGATGACTTTGAAACCTAATATCTGAATGGGAAAAGACTGCGCAAGGTAGACGTGATTCTTCGACGTTTCTAGTAGAATAAGTCCGTACTGGATCGGACAATGTCGGAGGCTCTCGTCTCTTTGACAATTGCAGAACAGAAGAGAAGCGGTAAGAAGCGTAATTGACGTAGCTTGAAACAAGTTAAAGTCGACTTTCATGGATCGGACAATCTCGTCGCATTATTCCATTATTTATTTTTACATACGCGATGAAAGTTAATGAAGCGAATTAAGAAAAAAAGAAAGACTCACTTTGAGAGTGACCTGGGTAAACGGAGGTGGTTCCTCGACTTTCGATTTCGAATCTCTCCTGGAATTGAGGGTCCAGGGTGCACTAGGCATAGGCAAAGGTGACGGACCATCCTTGACCCAGGGTGGCCT